TTTCTTCCTAGAATTTATTTTATGTGTTCTTTAGAACAACCTGTGAGGTATATGGAGAATATATTTCATTCTTATTTTAGATATGAAAAAACTGAAGGCAGAACAGCGAATAATCTTGCTTAAGCTCATCGGACTAGAGATTGCTGGTTCAGTGGTCTTTCCATTATAAAATATTGAAATATTCTGTTCAAGTACATCCCACCAGGTATAACAGGTGTCAAGGCTCAAGTGCCCGAAGAAGCAGGAGAAGCAGGTGGAGTGTGGGTGCTGGGAGGGGAGTGCGGTAAAGGGACTAGCTCATTGTTTAGTGCCTCAAAGGAAGGCGGGCCCAGGATTTCCCAAGAAGAGCTGGATTCACTTTAATAAGTCTCCTCACTTCTAAACTTTGATAACTATTTCAATCTTCAAATAGACACCAGCAACAACCAGTCTGTCTGTGGTTGGCTGTGACCTTGGGCTGAAAGTCTGCAACCCTTTAATGCCAAATAAGTATTTTTTTTTTCTGAAAATTTCAATAGATCACCAGGTATTCAGAACTTTGGGAAGCAAACAGACTGGAGCTCACGATGTGGACCCTAAGGGGAAGCTGTCATAACTGTGCCGTATCTGCCAGCTACAAATGCTCTCCTGGCTGAATATGTGGACTTAATATTGCATCCTGACAGGATGATTACACTTTGTTATGGTTCATGGTCCAGAGAACGGAGTTTAGTTAATTTGGCTTCAGGGATAATAATTGCCAGTTAGACCTGGGAGTGATCCCTGGGGCTTCCTGGTGCCATGGCGTTGCTCTCCTGTCTGGTGGTAGCCATAGGTGGCAGGTTCTTCAAATTGTCTGCAGTTTGAACTCACTCTTCAGCAAGCCTCTGTGTAAGTGATTCCTAGCCTTGCTCAAAATAACACAAGCCCCGTCCTTGCGTGGAAGTGTCTCTTTCCAAACGTCTGAAAGCTGGACTCTCTTAAGAACTTAGAAGGATGTGAATAGTTCCCTATGTGTTTGCGAATCTAAATGTAACATATTTAGGATGACAACACTTTTACTTTTAAGCAGATAGGAGGACGATCTGATTTAGAAGGCCTGTAATATATTCAATCCTGCTTTGCTGTCAACAAAAATAGGCTTACATTAATCTGCTCAAAGCTGGTATGGGGGATTTTATAACTGCACACTTAAAGGTAATAAAAGTTGCCTACATTCATTATTGTTGCTATCAGAAGCCCTGGAGAATACTTGAGATTTGTTATGAGTAAATATCGTTTGAGGAAGAAATTCTGTTGCTATGACATTTACCTCACAAGCCGGAAACAGCCTCCGTCTAGTCGATGAAGCGATGTGGGTTTACTCATGTTTGAATTAATGTTGTTTAGTCCACGCAGGCTGTTATGAATTTACCTCAGACTTCAGTATCTCAAAATCATTACCTTTTAAACTGTCTAATTACTGTTTTCCTCCTGGCATAGTCTCTGGCTCTGATCACTAATGCACGCTTTTCAAAGTAGCATTGTGAAAAGTCAATACGCTTCTGGGAAAAAGTCATCATCATAAAAAGTATTGAACTTATGAAATGCTTTTCATGTACGAAGTGATTTACAAACATTCATTAATTACCATCCAAGAGTAGGTCCCTACACAGGACTGAGTTCTGTTCCAGGAATGAGCGTCAAGTGTGTGAGGACCTGGGCCCGGCGCACTCCCTGGTCTGTGGGGCTGGGGAATGGCTCAGTATATGATGTGGCATCTATTTTCTTTCCCACTGAGCTGTGATCACTTCTCCCCTGATCTCACACTGGACCAGACAAGCTTCTTCTAAGGTATAAATAACAAGGTGGTGGTAGATGTTTTTAAAAATAGGAGAATGATTTAGTATTTCTGCTGTTTTCTTAAAAATGACTGCTTTCCATATTACTCTTCAGATTACTTTCAAGAACATATCATTTCACCAAAATCTGGAGATTAGTTTAGCTTATTATTTTAGTCAGGTTTATAAAAGAAAAATACTTATTTAACTGAGGACACGAAGGAAAAACAAATTGTCCCACCAGTTGGCCGAATAAATCAGTTCAGAAAGCAAAACGTGTGTTTTAAGCATCATATTTTCTGCCCAGGACTGCAGCAAGCACTAGCAAGAGCGGGAATATTAAAAATAATGAGGAAAACCAATTTGCTTTTTTATGAAAATTATTTTGCTATAAAGACATGAAAGCAAGCCTAATAGCTACTATACATAATTTTATGAAAGAACACACATTTAATAGAAAAAGTAGAAGGCAAATAATCTCCAAATTTTAAGATAATAAAAAATTCAGGACTTTGATATTCTTTTCTCATTGTTATCTTAATTTCATTGCTAGCTTGATATAAAAGGTAAATGGGATTTCCTGGAGCTGTGGTTGTATTGATGCATGTAAACACTGATTCTGTCAACTCAGATGCTGCTATTCACACAATCCATGTAAGATCTTGACAAACTGCACTCGGGAAACTTAGAGCCAAACTCATTAATTTGATGGTAATGAGATATAAAAAACTAAACAGCAGTGAAATTCAGACTTTTGACTCTCTCAGAAGATAAATTTTAAATAAGAATAAGTACCTTCTAAGGTTTAATTAACCAGATTGTAGAGTAAGTCATCCTCCTGATTTCAAAAGCATTAAATTGATTCATATAAAGGAACCAACTCTGTTAAAATTGAACTCAGGAAGTAAACTAGTATTTATTGTCAACTCTGTTTCATTAAAGAGTGGACATTTTACCACAAAAAGCAGAAGAAAGTCATAATCTACCACATATTTTGTAAATTATTTATTATTGAAATCTCACCCCCCTGTCCAAATTTTTCTCATTTTTTCATTGAACATTGAAAACTTTATCACAGGTGTGCATATGGGGAATGTATAGAAGTGGACATCCCAAATGGAGTATAGACAGTAGGGATAGGGGAGGGGGGGGAGAGAGAGAGAGAGAGAGAGAGAGAGAGAGAGAGAGAGAGAGAGAGAGAAAAGGACTTGGTCAATGAAAGGCTCCCTAGAAACCTCCCTAAATATGGAGGAGTACATACATTACACAGGATAGTCTCCCAACCTGGCTTCATTCTTCAGTGACCTAGCATCAGGAATAGGGGAACCACTCATTTTCCTTGAAGCTGCTTTGGATTTTGACAAAACGTAGGTTGACAGTTTTTACTATCTATTGGGCACTTAAGAAAGTGTAGTAACTAATTTCATTAGGTTAATTCGTAGATGAGAGGGTTTCTTTCTGTTTACCACTTACTGTGTTCCGCAGGGCATGATAAAAACTCATGTGCACTATGTCCCTGAGTCCTGAGGGTCTGACACGGGGATGTTAGCGGAGGTGCTAGAGGCCTCCCTAACAGTGGAGTTGCACGTCAGTTGAGAAAGATGCATGCTCTTCACTGTTAAGGCCAAACTGTGTTTAGAAAAGTTTAGTATGGATTGATGAACGTATAAATAACGTTAGATATTGAGTAATAGAGTTTTAATGCTCAAGTAATTATGAATGAAAGCCACCTGAAAATGTAGAAGAGTGATAGATAAAAACTGGCTCAGCTTTTGGACTCGTACACACAAATGACTGTATTTAATTCACCTGATCAGTAGAAACAAAAATCTCAGACAATTCAGCCCCCACTCTCTAGTTTGGGGTAGGGGAAGGACACAAATCTTGTCTCTCCCCAAGTTGAGGAAACATTTAGACCGTGAGCTCCTCGGATCCACACCAATGTCTTGGGCAGGCGGCTGGTACCCCCAGTATTTGTGTCGCTTATTCATTTTGCTCCATCAGCTGTCAGGGTGTGCACAGAAGGCTGGTCAGTCTGACTGTGTGAGTCAAGCTCAGGCAGGACAAGGTCACAGCTCTGACAAGTCACTGTCCATCTGCTGCTGACAATGCCGTGTACTGTGAACAGCTCTGAAGTACTTAGAAATAAAAATGAGAAAATCCAATTGTGAGGATTGTGAGATTCGAGGGTGGTGAGGAGAGTTTGCGTATTCTCAACGTGATGAAGAGGTCACACCATGTTATCAAGGCAACACTACTGGAACCCTGTCTCACCACTAGCTCCCAGGACATAACACCTGCTGGGCTGAGAGTCAGAACAGCCTGAGGGCAGGACCTTCCTCCAGGCTCTCCAGGAAGGAAGCAGATGGCCTCACAGATGGCCCAGCCCACTTGTAACCTGCCCTCTTCCATGCTGTTTGACCCCGAAAACTGGACTCCAGGCTGAAGTAGGTCCATCCCAGCAAGGAGTCAACCCCAAATCTCTTTCTCAGCCTTGGCCAGTGTAGGGATTATTTTTAGAGCTGGACAGAACATTGGCAAAGAAACAGCCGGACCAAAATGTCAAAAACCCGCTTAAATCATGCCGTTCCCATATTTATTTCTTGTACAAAATGAAGGCCACATCCATTGCTAACAACTCATAATAATTTCCTAAGATCTGTTCATGCAGCCTTTTCCTTGGCAGAACACAGAATTGTTTGAAAAAATAAACTTTACTATGAAGAATAGCTTACTGTGTTCCAGAGTTTATAGAATATTTTAGGTGGGTGTTTACTTCCCTTTTCTTTTTCTTTGCCATAAGGCCCTTCTGCCATGATTAATACTGAACCTCCTAAAGCTGTGTTGGGAAGATCATGTATATGGATTTATTATTGGGTCCAACTATTTCTTGTCTCCACTTGATTCAGAGATCGGAGCATATCACCCGTGGATTGCTTACATTTTAAATCATCCCAACCGTACGCACAGCCTCTTATTTTATTTCTGAGTGGGGTGAAAACTTTGAATACTGAAGCAAATTGCCAAGAGCCAGTAAAAAAATGGACATTTTAGCTCTGATAGCTGCAATCTATTTCCTATTTATCTTCCTCATCAAGGGGACTTATTTATACTCTTCATATAAGTCATTTAAAAGCCACAGCAGTTAGAAGTCCACAGATTAATTTGGCACCTCCTGAACGTGTGTAATCATGTGCAAACTTTAAAATTCAAAAGGGTTTAAATTGCTTTATTACTGTACCATAGATATTTACAAGCTCTTAATAATATACTTTTTTTTTCCTTTCCAAACAAGTCTGTATTAAGAATGCATCTGGGGCTGGGGCTGGAGAGGGTATTTACAGAATGATTTGCCTTCAGAAGCCTCACAAGATTTATGGATTCATTCATCGTTCAAGTGGCTGAATAGTAAAACAGTAAAAAATCATGACAACAGACAGGAAGTGGATGCTGGGTTCCCAAACTGGGACTCCTCTGGAACTCAAACCTGAAGAAAACAAAAAGAAAACACAATCTCCTGAGAATAAGTAAAAATCCTTGTTAGCTTCATTCTTCCTGACCCAAATGCATACAATCATCTCTCTCCAATAGTGTATTTTACAACAAACACTTGTTTCATTTACATTATGTTTCACTGTAGGAAGAGCCCTATGCTCTGTCCCAGGATGTCGCTGTTTTCAATGCAAAAATGAACCGATGAAATGCCCAAATTGGTCGAGTCTGACCCCACCGAAGATGAGGACTGGCCAACGTGTGGTGGCAGACACAGCTTCAGGCAGACGGGTGAGCGATTCCTCCACAGCAGAAAGAATACATCATTGTTCCACGCTCTGTCTGCCTAGTGTTACCTGCTGAGAACACTATACTGAGAGGGTCTGTGGCTCAGCCCAGCATAAATGCGGTGATTGATTGGTGATGTCTGCCACAGGTATAGGAAAAGCTGAATGTGCACATATTTCATATTCTCTCCCTGCTCAGGAGCCTGCACACATCCACAGAAAAGCGTTGTGATTTCTGTCCAATAGGAAGGATCGTGCACAATAACCCACAGTTGTTTTTCTCTTTTGTGATTTGAATGAGAGCACATAATACTGTGTGCGTTATACAAACATGTTGCAAATCTGAGGGATTATTTAAAGAAAAATTGACTCATCACCTCTTGCTCACAATTTAAAATGGAAACACAGACCTTTTATTTTTTCACCCAACATTTAAACAAAGAACTGGAATGATTTGTAGAGCCCAGATTTCATGCTGCAGCTGGATTCAAAGTCTACAACAGTGATCAATGGTGATGCTACTCACTGGACATTTTTGGAATCCTGATCTCCTCGCTGCTGCTTCCATCCCCACCGTCGCTAACTGTCCTTATCTCAATCAGGTAGTCCTCTTCGAATGGGACCAGCAGCTCAGCTGATGTGTTGTTTGTCTCCAAAATGTGGGTTTTACTCTGTCGGTTTTGTCGGTACAGAATCTGAATAAAATGGTGACTCAAGTTAAAGGGACATGTTCTTTTCTAAGGTTCAGACACTCTTAAGGAACACAAAGACACATCATTATAAATGCTGGCCCTGGCTGGACAACTCAGTTGGTTGGAGCATTGTCCTGATACAACTAGGTTGTGGGTTTGATCCCTGGTCAGGGCACATATAAGAACTAAGCAATGAATGCATAAATAAGTGGAACAAAAACTTAATGTTCATCTCTCTCTTTGTTTCTCTTTCTCAAAATCAATCAACAATTAAAAATTTTTAAATTCTGTACTACTTGGATGGAAGTACCCAATCTATGCCCTTTTTTGGAAAATGTAGTGTTAAGAAAAAGATTTGCTGTTTTGTCCAATGCGTCTGAATGAGAGTAGATTTATCTCTATTAATTAAATAGCTCCAGGCTGTCATCTTTGAAGCCTGCTGTGAGAAGCCACTGTTTAGCGGGGCCCCATTTCAGATTTCTGAGTAGATGCATTTGCCAGAGGACATCCTTTAGCTCGGATGGAAGGGATGTGCTCGGGGTATCTGACTGGACTCTTGTTCGATTCCTGTAATGATGGTAAATGATCACATCCTACTGCAGCTTCAGTTCTAGAAATTCTGTTGGAATAATATTCTTTGACCTCACTCTCATCTCACTCACATTTACTACCCACATAAACCTTCATTGTTTAATGGCAAGGAAAGTCACTTGAAGAAAATTCTTGCAAACTATAGAGTTTTGTTTCTTCATGCTCCATGACACATTATGGGCCTCAGGATATACAGCTTTTTCTTTTTCAGATAGATAGATAGATATTATTTCAGAGAGAGGAAGGGAGAGGGATCAAGAAACAGAAACATCAATGATGAGAGAGTATCATCAATTGGCTGCCTCCTGAACGCCCCCTTCTGGGGATAGAGAACACAGCTTGGGCATGTGCCCTGACCAAGAATTGAATTGCAACCTCCTGGTTCATGGGTCAGTGCTCAACCACTGAGCAACACCAGCTGGGCAGGACATAAAACTTTTCAGTGAATAGGTTCACAACAGCAATTCTAAGTATCTTCAACACCTATTTTAGAAAGATTCCTCAATTTCCATATGCATGAAATTTGTTTCCTATTTAGCTGTGACATTCCTGGTTCTTTAGTAACTTAATTGCCATGCTTAAAGAGAAAACCAAATAGTCACCTTGTAGCCCAGGACTTCAGACTCATTTTCCATGGTTTTCACGTGCTCCCAGTTCAGGCATAATTTGGAGTTAGTCAGCTTCCACGCAATGTTAGCTGGGGGTTGGCTAGGAGCTTTAAAAAGATAACCAAAGATCTAGATGAATATTCATTAGCTTGTGGTTACTTCCATCAACATGAAAGGGACAGGAACTGCTGGATGATTAGCATGGCAGGAGCTAAAATGTTCTCAAGTTCATTTGAAATAATATATTCTAATTAGAGTAAGCAAATCCATTCAAATTGGGAATGTCTGTGACAAACTTAATAATGGCGTGCCCCATGTCCAAGTATCAATTTATTAATCATTGCTGTTGATTTTGTTTACTCTGCCACATACAACTGGATGGGGGGGAGGTGCTCCTTTACCTAGTGTTCCATTTGGCTGTCAATGTGCATGTCAAACAAATTCAGGTTGTAAACCGTTTACACATATCAACACAGAGGGTTCCTTCTTAGTCATCTTTAGCTCTTTAATCTTGTACCAGGACTCTTAGTAACACAATCAAGCCAAGATCTTTTAAGCAAGTCTTTGCAATAAGTTGGGAAGGATGCAGGGTCTCTCTTAGAACTCAGGGCAGGCAAAGAGCTGGAACCCAGAGAAAGGAAAGTCATTACAGACGGATGATCATCCCCAAAGGTGTCTATCAGAGTCCAGCCTGTGGTGTTCGCTTCCCTGGGATCACTGTTTTCTATGAGAAAGCATGGGAAGTACAGGTTTGGAATCGGCCTTCTGAAGTAATGGATCTGGTCCACCCGGAAAATGTTACATTCGAGAGAGCTGGCATCCGGGTCTGGAGGCCACGTATCTAAGAGCCTGCGGCGAATGACAGCTTGAGTCCCACCAGTGCCCCGCCCCCTGATGGCAGGCTAGTGTTCTCCATGACAACACTCTGCTTCTCAGAGCTTGGAGGCCACATGATTATTCTTAAGATTTAAAAAGCTGGTGAGACTAAAAATAACTCAGCTGGGAGGCAGAGGCAGAGATAAAACCGCCCAGCAGGATGGTTTTGGCATCTGACTTCAATTTGTGAGGCTGAAAAAGTGTAATAGTTAACTCATTATGACACGGGTAGAAATGGAAATGATCTCTTTTGGAGTTTTGACTCAACCACTATTTAACCTGTAGGCGTGGTGGGGTGTCCGACATTGTGTTATATATCCCCCTGCCTCTCCAAGCCCACTGGGGTCCCCCTGTGTTCACCAGCCACTTGCACGTACATCAGCAGAGACCTAGCAGAGAGATGAAGGTTTGCCCTGTGCTCCAACGTGGCTGAGTTCATATATTATTAGGGTTTATCACACTGACTTGTAGTTATTCTTGCTGATGTGCTTTGTTAATCTTATTGAGAGCATGTGTCTTGTTCAAGTGCATTACCAACCCCAGCACATTTCCTGTATGTTGCATGAAGAACTGGCCATCAGGTGGCTGAAGGAAACTACTCAGGGTCCTATGTGATTCTCTCAGGTCATGTTAATCATGCTCTGGGCTGTGGGCAGATCCACAGGGACACAGAATGGCCAGTCCACTCGTCATGCCGTCCTGTAATCAAGGCTAATTGCCACGGCCACACCTACAGCTGCCCACGTGGGTTCACCAGATGGACTGGCCCAGGGCATTCC